AGGAAAGGGTGATTAGAAAAGCTACAAATGTAATTTAGCCACGTTAAAAGACTATGAGAAAGAAACACACATAATCACTCAATAAATGCAGAAAAAGGTTTTGATAAAATTCAACACCCATACATGGTTTTAAAAAGGCTTCAGGTGTAACTCCATGGTAGAACATGTGCTTATCATGTGCCAGGCTGTGAGTTCACTCCCCAGATCATTTATTATTTCCTTGTGGTGAAATCATTCAGTCTTTTCTTCTGGAGTTTTGAAATCTACAGTACACACATACTTTAGTAAAATAGAAACTTCCTAGAGTTAGATTTGGCCTGCGATTCTATTCCCAACACCAAATACCAAACAAACAGAAATATGCCAGGTGGCAGCAGGGCATGGTGGTACTTGTAATCCCAGTGACTTGGGAGCCTGAAGCAGGATCGTGAATTTGAGGTCAGCCTTGGCAACTTAAAAAGATCCTGTTTCAAATATAAAAGGGCCTGGGGACGTAAATCAGCAGAGCCATGTTGGGTTCAATCCCCATTGCTGGGGGGTGGAAGAATCCAGAAAATTAAGAGAGAGTAGACAAAACTGTCATCATAGTGTGAGACTCTTAGAAATCATAAGACCAAGGAGACAAAAAAAAAATAGCATTTTAATCTAAGCTTTCTCTCAAGTTCGAGGCAAATTTGTTCCCTGAGATATCTGGCTTCTGAAAACTTCCCTCTGCTGGGGTTTCTGTATACGGTGATTCCCCCACAGACTGTGGCCACAGGTTGCCACACAGAATCCAGCCAACCTTGCAGTGGCACATAAGCACTGGATTCAGCACCCACGTCCAAACTTTGAGATATTACAGTAGAAGGAGAATAGATTGTCCGGTTGGGACCCTCCAAACTAGACTGATAAGAGGCAAATTAACAAGAGAAAACAAACAAAAGTTGATTAACTTGTGCAGTGCACATCATGCAAGAGAAACCTCAGAGAAGGGTAACTCAAAGGGGTGGTAGAATCTGGCCTCTAGGACATCTTAGCAAAGGACAATTCCTGTGTCGAAAAGTGGCAGACACAGGAAAAGGGCTTTAGGCTCCCATGAAGAGCAGAGATGAACACACAGCGTAAATGAATGGAGGAAGTTTGTTTTTGCAGGCCCACCTCGGAGGCAACTTTCCCTCATTTTCAGGGCCATAAAATTTCCCTGGGAGGGAGAATTTGTGGTGGATCTCATTTCTCAGAAGATTCTACTTTTTATCACGTAAGGAAAGCCCAGGAAGGCTGTTTCTGCATCTGTGGATTGTCATTTACCTCCAGTTCAAAATAATCTTTATGCCTAAATAGAATATACTGAGCTACATCCCTAGTCCTTTTCATTTCTTATTCTGAGATAGTGTCTCGATAAGTTTTTGAGGCTGACCTCAAACTTACTGTCCTCCTGCCTCAGCCTCTTGAGTCACTGGGATAACAGTAAACATGGAGCTTGAGGTAGTGCATTTTGATCCCCTACTCAATGAAAGCGTCTCCTGTTTGTACACAGCACTTTCTGCTGTCTATCCAAACCCAGCCTCTTCTCCGAAGTTCCAGAGCATGAAGAAGTCTTCACATAATGTTGGTATAATAAAAGCCATTATTTATCTTGCTTTTCCAAGATAAATAGGGCATGCAGCTTGGTGACAGAGACACAAGGACAGAATGGATGTGGAGGACAAGGTGTCTCCAGAATTGGGGATTTATGCCTTCAGATATATAAACTTGCAATGTGAATGGCAGCTGATAGGAAGAAGCCCCAAACCAATATAAATGAGGAATTGAATAGCATGATAAAAGGAAGCTAAAATCCAATTTTGATTGATTCAATCAAAATTCATTGAGCATCTATCGTATGTCATGTACTGTTCTGGGTGTTGGGGATGCAGCAGTGATTTAAAAAAAAAAAACACAACCATTATAAGAAGGTTATAGCTAATTCACTAAAACAAGGATTTTTTGATTATAAATATTACAAAGGAAGGGATAAAGCTGTCATTATTTGCATCACTCCAAGAGAAGCAGCTTCAAACCTCTAAAATATGTAAATTTAGCAAAGTACCCAGATATAAGACCATATATTTTAAAAATGAATATTTTTAAATACCACCAGCAACCACTGATAAAATGTGATAGAAGAAAATGGTACTAGAACTAATAACACGAGTTGGTGATATCACTGGATATAAGATCAAGGTATAAAAATTAAGCTGGACAGGGTGGCACAGATCTGCCTGAGAGGCTAAGACAGAAAGATTGCAAGTTTGATGCAAGTCTGGGCAATTTAATGAGACCCTGTCTCAAAATGAAAAAATAAAAAGGGCTGGGGATGTAGCTCAGTGGTTAAGTGGCCCTGGGTTCAATCCCAGGTACCACTAAAAATGCACATATTACTACTAGTTGAAAATAACAAATTGAAGAAATGTAATAGAGTAAATACCTTATATAGAATAAATGAAATATTATAGAACAGTCTTTCTCTTTCAGAAAAATGCAGTGCTAAAACTTGGATGAACTGAGCAAGTGTGCATGGAGAAGCAGCTGGAGTGACAACGAGAAGCATGTCTGCGTCCATGGGAGGCAGGCAGCCTGGCACAGGACACCAAAGCACAGCAGGGCGAGGAGGTATTCCCACCAAGGGCAGCCTGGTGTGGGGCATCAGAGAGTCTGAACAGGGTTAGAAGACTGATGAGGGAGGCACTACCTGACATGATGCAAGGGAGAACCCTTCATCTTCAGGGGAAACAGCCCAAGGAGAAAGAGGAAAACCTACATGTAGCAGAGGGGCGACAGCAATAAAAGATCGGTTACATATGGGGAGAATCATCAAATCATTTATAGAAAACAATGGGCACTGAATTTCTCACTATCAGAGAAGGGAGTTGTAAATATAGAAAAGGAAAATTTCACATGTCCCTTGTGGGATTGGATTACAGTTTGAGATATCCTGTAGACTCATGGTTTTCAATAGAGACAGGTATAGAAACAAATATAGACACACATATATGTATGGATATACACTTATACTCCCTAGCATTGCTCCCTGAGAGGGTCTGGGAGAAACAACCCTCTTAAAACTAAATATACAATTAGTGTTCCAGATGTGCAAAGCAAGAAAAACCCTAACACTAACCCTAACCCTATCCCTAACACAAAACTATCAGAGTGTGGAAGGCTGAGAAATTCCCATAGCTCCTGCAGAGCTCAGAGATGTCAGTCTAAGTAGTGGGACCTCAGTGAACACTGTTATGGTTTGGATTTGAGGGGTCTCCCTAGAGCTCATGCAAGAATGTTCAGAGGTGAAATGATTAAATTATGAGAGTTGTGACCTAATCAGTGGATGAATCCACTGATTTGGATTAACTGGGTGTAGCTAGAGGAGATGGATCACTGGGGGTATGCCTTTGGAGTAAATGTTTTGTCCTGGTAGCAGAGCGCTCGCTCGCTCTCTCTCTCCTTCCTTGTTGCCACCTTTGGAGCTGCTTTCCTCTGCCATGCCCTTCTGCCATGATGCTCTTCCTCATCTCAGGTCCAAAGCCTGGAGCAGGCCACCTGTGGGCTAAACCAGTGAAATTTTTCCTCTACATTTTTTTTTTGCAGTTCTTTTGGTCACAGCAACAAAAAGCTGACTAAAAAAAATACCCAGGGCATTCTTTTAAAAGTCATTGAAAAACACACATTCCTAAAAGTGGAATAAGAAGAACTAAGCAATCTGCATATCCCTGTTCCTATTAAAAAAAAAAAAAGAGTGAATTTGTAATTTAAAAACAAAACCGAAAACCTCACACAAGCACATGCATACATGAACACGGGCACATAGGCATTATCCTTGCAGACGGGCCAATGCATAGACAGATGTGCAAATGCTTATGTTAGGAAAGAAGAAATTTCTCAAGTCAAATTTCCACCTTAAATAACTAAAAAAGAAGAAAAGCAAATTAAACTCAAAGTGAGTAGAGAAGGAAATCAGAGAAGAAATCAATAAAATAGGAAACAGGCATTAGAGAAAAAACATCAATGAGACCAAAAGCTAGGTCTCTGAAAAGATCAATAAAATTGATAAACCTCTGGATAGACTGATCAAGAAAAAATAAAGGAAGATGAAAATTGGCAATACATGTTGATTTAAGTTTGTTTTACTCTTGTATTAAACATTTATGTAATTCTAGAATTATATCTACAACACAAGGTTTATCAAGTAAACTAGAGCTTCTAACCCAAGTCTTTTCACCCTGTCGGCTTTATTCCTATAACTTACCACTTTATTTATTATTTGTGCTTTATTCTTCTTTTTTTTTTTTTTAGGGAAAATATTTGCAGAGTTATTTTAAGGAATGTTTCGCATCTTCAATGGGGCTCTCATGGGTGGCTTAAGAGTCTTGTGATATAGTCACATTCAAATATAATCAATGTATTCCAACAAAAAACCTCTTAGTATGTTCAAAAATATATGCAAATGTGTGCTCAATAGATCAACACGTTTACATTCAATAAATATCCCCAGGGAATAACCAAGGGGTTTACCCTGACTCCATGGAAGAAAAGTTTCATTTTTTAGTTGTCAGTAGATCCACAAAGTATTTGTCCATCTGAATTAGGTTCTCTACAAAAATTCTCCAGTCTATTTTTTTCAAAATCCTACTTTGTATTCCAAAGGTCTTGCTGATGCAGATTCCCTTTATCACATGGCCAGTGTAGTTGGCAGTCCTGAGACCATCAAAGGGCAAGTGCAGGGCTGGGTACATAGCTCAGTGGTACAGCACTTTCCTCCTCGCCTGCACAGGCCTACCACTGAGTTCCATCCCTAGCAGCGTGCGCGCGCGCGCACACACACACACACACACACACACACACAAACAAATGAACAAGAGCATCCTGATGGGTGATGGGACCTTCAAAAGTCTTCGGCTGACTAATTTTGTGACCCTTTTGATTTTATAAAAAGATGAACATTCACTAAAAAATCATGATTAAAACTATGCTTATAAGGCTGGGATGTAGCTCAGTGGTAGAGCATGTGCTTAGCATGCACAAAGCCCTGGGTTTGATCCCCAGCATTCCAAAAATAAATAAATATATATATATATATATATACATATAAACTGTAGTTATTTGTTTGTTTTATCCTGACATAAAGTGTAGTCCAACGCTGATAATAAAATGAGTAAATGTATTTAATTTAATATTATAATTGTCCTTGGTAGCCATACGGTGACCATCTCTACTCGATGACAGGTATTTGTGGTAATTGCTGATTCTGTTGTGATTATATAAACACTTGCATAGCTTGATCCAATTGTTTAAGTTTATTTTCAATTTGAAAGTGATGGTGTTCTAATAACAATTTATATTTGGTAGAGGCTTTTGGCTTCTATTCCTTATTTGACAGAGGTGCTAACATAAAAAGAAATCTTCTTTACCCATTTCCTTTATGAAACAGATGGAAAACATGGACCATCCTGTACAAGAGTAATGATAGAGTTTGAATCAGGTTTCTCCCTGATTCTGCTCAGACACATAAATTTTCAGCAAACTGAGTTATTCCTAGATAAGGAGTAAGAAGCTCTGTGGGACATGGTGGCACATGCCTATAATCTCAGCCACTCAGGAGGCTAAGACAGGAGAATCACAAGTTCAAATCCAGCCTCAGCAACTTCTCAAGGTCCTAAACAACTTAGTGAAGCCCTGCCTCAAAATAAAAAATAAAAAGCATTGAGGATGTCGCTCAATGGTAAAACGCCCCTGAATTCAATCCCCAGTGACAAAAAAAAAAAAAAAGTAGTAGTTCTGCTGTGCTACTGCATAGTAGGGTGACTATAACAACAATGTACTGTGTGTGTGTTTTATCTATCAGTACTAGGGATTGAATCCAGGGGTGCTTTATCACTGAGCCACATACCCAGCCCTTTTTTATTTATTTATTTATTTATTTATTTATTTATTTATTAATATTTTATTTATTTATTTTTCTCGGCGGACACAACATCTTTGTTGGTATGCGGTGCTGAGGATCGAACCCGGGCCGCACGCATGCCTGGCGAGCGCGCTACCGCTTGAGCCACATCCCCAGCCCTTATTTATTTATTTTTATTTTCGAGACAGGGTCTCACTAAATTGCCAAGGTTGGCCTCGAACTTGGATCCTCCAGCTTCAGACTTCTCAGTAGCATGGATTACACATGTGTGTTACCATGCCCCACTTGTGTATTTCAAAAGGCTAGAAGAAAGAACTTTGAATGGTTTCACCATAAATAAATGATAAATGTGCAAAGCACAGTGGTGCATGCCTATAATCTCAGCTACTTGAGAGGCTGAGCCAAGAGGATCACAAGTTCAAGACCAAAATGGGCAACTTAGTGAGACCCTGTCTCAAAAATTTAAAAAAAATAAAGATTGAGGATGATGTAGTTCAGTGATAGAGCACCCCTGGATTCAATCCCCAGTACCACAAAAAAAAAAAAAGGTAGGGAGAGAGAAAGATGATAAGGATTTAAAGAGATTGATATGCTTACCCTGTGTTGAGACCCCATAAATATGTACAACTTTTATGCATCAATAAATAAATTGGCTGGGTATGGTGGCACCCATCTGCAATCCTAGTGGCTTGGGAGGCTGAGGCAGGAGGATTGGAAGTTTGAAGCCAGCCTCAGCAAAAGCGAGGCACTAAGCTACTCAGTGAGACCCTGTCTCTAAATAAAATACAAAATAGAACTGGGGATGTGGCTCAGTGGTTGAGTGCCCCTGAGTTCAATCCCCGGTACCAATAAATAAATAAATAAATAAATAGGTAAAAAATTAATTAAAATAATTTTGTTAGACAATCTTATTGTCTTTTACTGTTTATAAAACTAAATTCCACATTTATCTTGTTTCTCTTTCTGAACTATTGGGGTGCTTTTTGTTTGTTTTGTTTTAGTACTGACCCAGATATATTTGTTTACAATCACATGTATGAAATATGGATATTAAAACATGGTATATTTGTGAAAGAAAGTGATTTCTGATATGAATTTTATTTTTTTTATTTTTTTTTATTGTTGATCGTTCAAAACTGATATGAATTTTAAAATGAATCTTTCAGAAAATGGGAAAAGATAAATGTAAATTTATTCTCTTTATATAGGACACACACATATGTATGTGTATGTATAAAGGAGTGTTATCATTAAATATATTAATTATTATTATTTAGAGCTTTAAAACATAATTAAATATTACATGGGAAAATTATAAGACCAAACCTATAACACATTTATTAACTTGTTAGTAATTAAAGACATTTGGGCTTGAGAAAGAACCAGTATATATATTTTTTTATTTGTTCTTTTTAGTTACACATGACAGTAGAATGTATTTTGACATATCATACATACATGGAGTATAACTTCTTATTCTTGTAATTGTACATGATGTGAAGTTACACTGGTTGTGTATTCATATATGAACATAGAAAAGTTATGTATGATTCATTCTACTGTCTTTCCCAGTTCAATTTTCCCTCCCTCCTCCCCACCCCCTGAATCTGGTGAACCTCCACTTCTCCCTCCCCTGCCCCCCAGCCTTTTGTGAGTCAGCATCCCCATATCAGAGAGAACATTTGGCCTTTGGTTTTTTGGGATTGGTTTATTTCACTTAACATGATAGTCTCCAGTTCCATCTAGTTACCCGCAAATGCCATAATTTCATTCTTCTTATGGCTTAGTAATATTCCATTGTGTATATGTACCACATTTTCATTATCTATTCATCTGTTAAAGGGCACCTAGGTTGGTTCCATAGTTTAGCTATTGTGAATTGAGTTGCTATAAACATTGATGTGGCCACATCACTATAGTATGCTAATTTTAAGTCCTCTGGGTATATGCCAAGGAGTGGGATAACTGGGTCAAATAATGGTGATGGTCCCATTCCAAGTTTTCAAGAAATTTCCATACTGCTTTTCCATAGTGAGAACAAGTATACTTTACAATTAGATAAAAGTACAGAATTAAAGTTCATATAGGGATTATTCTGTAGCAATGAGTCCTTTTTTCTTTTCTTTTAGGCGCAAATACCTTGGAACTGATATATGATGCTTAGGTCTACGTAATCTACATTGTTAGCATCAAGTAACACAATAATGGTTGTTTTTAAAAAGGAACCTTAATATACTCCAATGGTTATTAAGATATATTCTTAGAGAACCACAAGGAGAATACCTATTCGTAGATAATTTTAGATAAGAAATAAAAGTTGAAATATAGAAAAATACACACTTCTGAAGTATTGGCAAAATTCTCTTTTTGTTGTTTAGGTTTATAGCTAGTTGACAATGTAACTTTTTAAAAATTTAAAGTATACTGTTAATTATCTGCGAAATTATTTATCTTTTATCAAAGGCACTTTTATATTGAACTCCAATTATTCATAAGTCTTTGGATAAATAGAGATATTTTCAAATTCAGTCTTGTTTTTATCCAAAATCCCCCCCAAAAATTTTTGGGAGTGGTGGTGCATGCCTGTAATCCCAGCAGCTCAGGAAGCTGAGGCAGGAGGATCATGAGTTCGAAGCCGGCCTCAGCAACTTAGCAAGGCCCTTAGCAATTTAATGAGACCCTGTCTCTAAGTAAAACAATTTAAAAAGGGCTGAGGATGTAGCTCAATGGTAAAGCACCCCTGCGCTCAATCTCTGTTACAAAAAAATCCCCCAAAAATAAAAGTGTAAAAACCTAAAATTAAGTAAATATTAAAATACATTAATATTACTGTAAATAATAAAGAAATACTACACTTTAAAAATCTTACCCAGAGCTAGGCACAGTGACACACACTTGTATTACCAACCACTCAGGAGGATGAGGCAGGAGGATCAAAGTTCAAGGCCAGCCTGGGCAACTTAGCAAGATCCTGTCCCAAAATAAAATAAAAAGGCTTGGAGATATAGTTCAGAGATAGAGTGCTCCTGGGTTCGAGCTCCAGTACTGCAAATAAAATAAAATAAAGATTTTGCCCAGAAAGCCCAGTAGAACATTTCTATATGTCTATAAATGTTTTACATAAATTTATAATAGTATTTGAGTTTTATAGGGACCATTTATTAAAATACAATTTTATTACAACACAATTTTATAGTTATTTTCTCTTGTTTTTTGCAGTACTGGGCTCTGTACCACTGAGCTACATCCTCCACCCTCCTCACCCTTCTTCTTCCTTTTAAAGACTCCCTTTTGAGGAACTGTGCAAGCTATTTTGGTGGGGTTTTTTCTGGTTGTTTTTTTAATAGTAAAATACACATATGTGGTTTGAAGGCGAGCGCGGGCGTGGCGGGCGCTGTGACGGCGGCGGAGGCTGCGGGCTGGGGCGCCTGAGGTGATGCTTTGTCGCGTCTCCTGCCTTCCGTAGCCGGTCTGGGCTTTCAGCGGAGACTGGTGGAAACGTGCGTTTTTTGAACTTCATTTGGGTCCTTCGTGGTCTCGACGTTCCCTTGA